AATGAGGTGTTGTGCAAGACTCATTATGGTGATAGGTATTCTAGGCTGATACGTATGTTTAAAGCAACAATTTGGCCAAAATCTAAAACTAATATGTTTTTAAATTATTATTATATTTCTGTTATTTAATACTGTACCGTGTAAGAAAATGTTTAAAATAACTTGAGTGTGTTAAATTGTTTTAGCTCTTCACAACAGCTAAATGTGTGTTTGGGTGTTTGTAGTACTCTTGCCCACCCTTGACATAGTTATCCCGTCCTGACAAATGCTGAATCACTATCTTAATAGATGACTTCATTAGTGAATAAAATGTTTAATTATTCAATATTGTTACATACAATTTATTAGAAATGTTTGTGTAATCAAGCATATGCACATAATATTACAAAAATATTAATATTAATTAACTTTCAATCTATGTCAAAGTTTTGTCACTTTGCTTAGTTGTCTGGACCTCCTTTCATTGGGCTGTTGGTTCTTGGTGTTTTTATTTGTTTGTTTTTCTGTTTTCATGTAAAATGTATGATATTATTATTTTTTAATAGCTTCTGTCTCGTGGGAGCCTATATATCAGTGTCATACTGTAAACTGTGACTGCACGGGGAAAATAACACACGTCACAGACCATTAATAGTCATCAGTCACATTTCTCTTTTAGGTACCAGAAGTGGTAAAATATCACTCCTGAAACGGAAAGTGCAGTTTCAGCTTATTTTAGGGAAATACCCTGTATACATACCACATCAAAAGATAACGCTTACATTTATTTGTGTTTCCTCCACAGACCACTTTACATTCTTAAAAAGGTAGATGAGTCACAGTGATCTAGTCTTTATTTTAAAGGTGCAAATTCTACTTTTTCACTGTCAAGACATAACATGTTTGTTGTATGAACATTATTATAATCTATAGCCATCAGCTTTTTTTCCATCCATTATATCACTAGAAATGAGATGTGCCACCCCCTTGCTGTTCTCTGCTGCTCTCTGTCCATGCCTTTTCATCTCTCCCCAGTGCTCCCCCCCCCTCCCCCCCTCTCTGGATGTCAGTGTGCCAGTGGTTTTTTGGAAGCTCTCACTCATATCTTGGCTTAAATTTATCTCTACTTTTGCTCAGCGTGCATTCCCTGCAACCTAATAAGGTCTGCATGGAGGGAAAGGAAGAGGGCACAGAGGGCGAGAGAAGATGGTGGGAAAAGGTTGGACAATAGTAATCAAAAGTATTTTCCCACAAATTTGTTTTGGCCTCTGCACACATGGGTGTTTCTGCTAGGGTTTGTGTGTGTGTGTAGAGAGATAGAGAGAGACCACAAAGATGAGGGTGAAAGCACAAAACATAATGAAGAGATTAGGATATTGTAGGCCTATTGTAGGCTGACATGTTCCTAAGCGCTTTGATGTAGCACATCATATGCTCTGTACGTAACAATATTTTCTTCAGTAAATCCACATGAATGTGACAGAGAAGATAATAAAGTACAATATAACAGTACTTCAAAGCCTTTTCTGATCTTGCTCCTTTCAAATTGTAATTGATGACCATTGAAGCCTCAGCAGAACATACTGTTGTTTATCACGCTTGTGTCTACACACGCTGATAGTCCTTCGCTAAGAGAGAGACCCTGAAACCCAACCACAAACCACCACGCATATAGGATATTAACTCCGCTCTTTCACTTCCACTCTTCAAAGCAAGGTGTTTTCACAGACTGTTTTCTGGAAGCTGGAGGGGATTTCTCTGCTTATGCTGCTTTATTCAACCATCCTATCCCCTCAGCAAACTGTCACCTGATCCCTCACACACCTTCAGCCATGCAGCATATTAGATTACTACAATACTCACTAAAGTCAACCAGACACCCCTCCAACCCCACACTCTCCAGCTCTCATTTACTCCCTCCTCTGTTTCAGACTATAGAAATGCCCCAACACAATATGGAAAACTCCAGGAGTCAGTGGCAGCAGGGTCTGCGGCCTCCGTGGATCACCAGAATGACTGAAGGCCAGAGTCCCGCCTCCTCAGGGGCAGAGTCCGATACAGAAAGTAGCAGCACAGAGGGCGAAAAGGTGAGGGAGAGGAAGCTGTCTATGGTGGTCATGTAGTCGTTTGTTAGACCTTTTAATCCTGGTTAAAACAATGAATCATCATTACTGGTCTGAGCCCTTCCCAGCCTAACAGCCTGCATGTGGTCACTCTGTCTGCTCATTCTTTTTCCTGCTTTCTGTCAGACCTCCATTAAAAAGTTGGAGGTGGGTTCACTGAGGGTCCTGCCATCACCCTCCATGCTCCAACAGCGAATCACAGAGATCGAACAGCAGAAGGAAGAGCTAAACATTGAGGTGAGCATGTCACATGATCTGGACACAAACATTATGTCACCGTGCAAAAACAACTGCTGAATAAAGTCGCTAAAGAGCTGTTAGGGTTAACATGTTATTCCAGTTATTTGATTGAGAAAATTGACTTGGAATTATCAGATCAATTGCGAAACTTGTAAAAGTGGTTTTGATGTTTCTGCTGATGCATGCACATTGAAATTGCAACGCTGTTTCCAAACTCCACTACAGTCACGATAAAGGAATGCTTAACTCTGACTTGCATAAGGTTAGGTCAGTATGATTCACCTCGGTCGCGTCTTCTACCCTCTTAGCTGCAGCTGGAGATTGCTTTGCTACAAGGAGAGCTGCAGACAGAGAAAGACCGGCTGCACAAACACACGCAGAAGTTGAAAGATCTACAGGAGGAGGCCGGGCAAAGAGAGAAGCACAAACACACAGACAGACAAAAGGTAAAAGATACATGTGATATTATCTAATACAGTTTTAATATTCTTTTTTCTTTTTAAATACTTAAAAATTGACAGATGTTATGGGGTTTTTTTTTTTAACCCCTACCCTCCAATGCCACACCTTCATATTTCAAGCCCACCTCCACTTCGAGTGTCTTAGTGTAGGACTTACACCCCCAGAAGAAACTGGCATGTGGCTCAGTAATGTGCAGCTAAAGTCAACACAAGATCATGTCAGTGATAAGTCAGCTCCCATGCATTAACTGTTAGATGTCAAACATGTGACATGTTTTCAAGATAAATATATCCAGCCCTCATTGTAAACAAAGGTTAATAGACCTGTTGCTCTTGTTTCTTTTCAGGCAGAGTTCTTGTTTTGCATTTCAGTTTTTTGCTCGCTCTTTTCTAACTGACTGTAAATGCAGGAACGAGAGAATCTGGAAGAGGAGCGGCGCAGGGTGGAGGAGCTGAAGAGGAGGTGCAAAGAAAAAGAGAAACTGATCCCGAGTCAGCCAGAAAGTCAGCGAGAACAGCTAATGCTGCAGCTGCAGAAGGCGAGTAGGACATTTTCAGCATGGGTGGAGGATGACAGTTACAGTTACTCATTTGGGTGATCCACAGTGTTCTTTTTTTTTTTCTTCAATCAAAACATCTGCAAAACCAACAGAGCCAGCATCATTGTCATTTCATCTACAATGATGATTCTTCAAAATATGTTAAACACAAACACAAAACTGACCAGCGGGCTTTAGCCAGATAAGATTCCTTGAAGTTGTGGTAATCAAACGTCTGTTTCCTACTTTAGGGTGTGGGTTGTAAATCATTTTTAAAAACTGCATGCTCAAGATTTCCAGTACCACCCAAAAACACATCTGGGTGTTTTCTGTTTTCTGTTTTTAAATGTCTAATCCTGCCTTTTTTAAATATAGAGAGAGACAAAAAAAGATAAAACATAAAACTGCAGCTAATGCTCGGTGTGCTGTTTTGATATATCACAGTGTCTCAGATACAGATACAGAAGGTGTGTTGACAGCGCGAGTCTTGCACATAATATTGTCTTGAATACAGTGAGTGATTGTTCAGTACCTGTTCAACCTGAAGTGCTAATGTTTACCCACACCTAAACAAAACACAGGATGTGTGTTTTGCCTGTGAATGTAACAGAACAAGATGAGAAACCTTTTTGTTTAAATCGCACTGTTTAATGACAGGTTTAGTGTTGTCCGGTAGCTGGTTCCTTTCTGTGGTAACTTGTCAGATTTATTTGGAAAGGGCTTCTAGAAAACAGGTTTTTCACAAGTTGCTTCACAGAAAAAAAGCTGCATACATGCACACAAACAGGACCTAAGTGCGTGTTGCACAGCACTAAGAGAGCAGGCATTCCAGTGAGGCCGTTGAGTGTTTCAATAGGCAGTGAAGCATTGAATGTTGTGCTTATACTGGAAGTGTGCCTCCGGTTGCCAAACCTTGAGAATAATGAAGCTCTTAGGTTCAGTTAACTTTTGTCCACATAAGTACGTACTCAAGTCTTTTGATTGTACACTAAAAAGTTTGAGTCACAACAAGATGTTTGAGAAGTATCGTGAGATCATGATAATAAAGAAATACAAATAACCTGGAGATTATAAATAAGCTAATTTGGCATTTGTGAGTAGCAGCATTGTGCCAGCAATTGTCAGTTTGATATTACTAGCTGTGTGATAAAAAGTGTTAAACTACTTCTCAAAGGAAGTGTAGCATTGTCGATTAATTTCTCTCTAGTAAACTCTTTTGTCATGTAAAGTGACGATGGAACGAGGCTTGCCAAACTTTAAAAAGTTCTGCACAAAGTTAAAATATCTCTGTAAGAGAATGAATCAGCCTTTAAAGGTGACCATACTCATACATGGATCTGCACTAATCTCCCCTCCATCCATTCACTTTTGATTTTCCCACATAAATTTCTTGGGGATGTTACATTCATAAACCTTCTCTTAGGCTCCAGAACAAGACAAATTTTAGCAAGCAGTTCACAATAAAAAGGTCAAAGATGATTATAACCTCAAAAAACACATTTATTTACACAATATTTTTTTTTTTGTCTTCATTGCAGGAGAAGGAGGCGATGGAGGCATCAGTTCGGGCCTTTGAGGATTGGGAGTTTAATTTTCTGGAGCGAGAGACCGGCATTGTTGAAGAGGATGAGAGCAAATGCAAGGAGAGAGAGAGTGAAGGAGAGCTTGAAAAGGAAATCTCATGCCAGAAGCTTTTGGTCAACGTTGCACAGGTAAACAGCGCGTCTTTGAGAGAGTTTTTGAGACAGTTACACAGCTGCTCTTTGAAGTGTTATCAGGGTCACATGCTTTTTTTTCACTGTTTACTCTCACATAAATTCCGTGCAGACATGTGATGTCATACTTGTGCATACAATAAGTGGATGAAATGATAGGAACAACTAACACTTGAATATATACCAGTACAACAGTTTTGCAAAAGATCTATAGAAACAGGACCCAGTTCTTTTTGATCACAGTCTGGACAGTCTCCATGTTTCTTTTAGAGACACATAAAGATTGTGGGGGTTTTTTTCTAAAATGTGTTGCACCATGCTCCTAGCTTTTGCTGAAATCTGTTTTCCTCTTTTTGAGAGTTAAAATGAGGAGAAGACCGACCAGAAAGTGAACAGAAGAACCACAAATTTGTGCTCCTCCAACAATAATCACAGAGTTGTTGGCATCAAACAACAAAGTGATAAATCTGACTCGGATAGCATTTCAGGGCTGTTGCACATTAAAAGTGAAATTAATCACATTAATCACCACATTAGATGGGTTGTTCTGCTGTACACATAACCTCTCTTTGCAGTTAAAGTTCATGCTTGTTTTTATGGATTTAAGGCTTGCTCTCCTTCTTTCAGCACAAGCTTGAGCTCTTTACCTCAAAACGTCACCCTGATTATGTCACACGCTATACAAAAAGCTTAATCAGGCCACCATGAGTGAAAAATTATAGAGCAAAACACATGAAAGCAAAAGATGAGAGATGATTAGGAGAGACTGGAAAGATTAAAGAAGATGAGGAGATTTGGAAAAAGAAGGGTTGCACAATCGTGACTGAAAGACAATATTGTTGACTAAAAATGCTTGAAATCATGCTTATTTGTGAGGGTATTTTTTAAGAGATTAGCTATTCTGCCCTTTAGCAACATTAAAACAACAAAACTCTTCAGATCAGGATTCCCATGGCAGTTTCAAAAGATCTGTAACATGTTGGCACTTGAATTTAAATTCAATTGTTCAACTGACATGTTGGGTGTGTGTACTCTTATTTATGGACTGGGGTGACCATGGCTCAGGAGATGGGAAGCGTATCTGTAAC